CAAAAAAAAAAAAAAAAAAAAAAAAAAGGAACTTGTAGTTAATGCCTGAAAGCCAGCCAATGCAGTTGTTTTACAGAGGCAGAAATCAAGGCGGAGGGGTCATTTCTCCAGTGAAGCAACATCACTTTAGGAAGCTCCTATCATTCCTGCCACATACATGGTGGCAGTGGGGAGGGGTTAGCGTCGCAAACGCATATGCAAAGGCAGGAGAAAGCTGAAGAGTTATTTTTCACGTTGAGTTACTTTCTTGGAAACAAAAGCCTAGGAAAGAAGAGATACAGCTAAAACTCTCGGTCTGTACAACAAGGAGGTAGAGGCCAGGGACAGCACACCTCCTGATGAGAATCAAACAAGTGACTTGGTGCTACTCCTGCAGAAATGAGAACTTTGGGGCCAAAGTGAGACTGGGGTTAATCACTGGGCTAAATGGCATCTCTTGCATTCGGGGGTACAGGGCCTCCTCAGAAATGCACTAGAATGTAGCGGGAACTGTTCAGTTTTCTCTCCTGGAGCTTGTCCTGCCCATGCAGTGCTATGTGACTAAAGGACATCAAATTGTGCTATCCAAGCAGGTAGATCTTGTCCATCCCTTTTTACTCTAAGAACTTTCTGAAGTAGAGCTTTTATCACAGACAAGAAATCGTCAGTGTCAGTCACATGACCATGGGATTTACATGTGGCACAAGTAGCTAGGGGCTTATCTCAAGAGAGGAGAAGGCTCACAGGAGACTTGCAACCTTGATTCTCCATCTGTTTTTGTGTTTTTAGGTTCAAAATGATTCTTCAATTGCATATGCTGAGAAGATTGTGGAGCCCCTCTCCCAATACAGCACAAGTGGTGATAACAGATCATTTCAGAGAGAAGAAAAAAGTACCAACCATCTAAAACGAGTCCAGATACTCTCCAGGGAGAGGTGAGTTGTCACAGAAAGCAAACACATGCGGTCCCAGTGCCCAAGTCGGGGATGACACAGAAATGAAGATGTTTTGATTGTCAACTAAGCTTGAGGCAGGAAAGAGTCACCCCCTTCCCTTTAGGACCAAATAGAGAAACCTACCAGATTCATATTGCCTATATTTGAATGAGCCAAAGGAGACTTGAAAGATGAATTGTAAAGTGCTGGGAAGATAAATATGTAAGTTTCAGTGCACTCAATAAACAAGTGATTTCCCCCCAGAATCTTAACATCTTGTCAGAGTCTTAGTGTGACCCCTCTTTATGGACAAGATGTGATATATGCATAAATCTAGATTTTCTTTTGGATTCAATCCCAGATAACTTTCCATTTATAAAGACGACATTGCAGTGGTGTGCATGGGATACCTTTAGTTCTACGTCTGTTTCCATCTTCTTGGGTCAGTCGGCTCCCTGCTGGTAACACCTGCATTGTCCGGTGCCAGTTTCCTGCTCTCCCAAGTTTCACAGCTGCTGTTCACTACTCTCCAGCTGGGCAGCACCTCTCCTCTTTGCCTAGAAGCAGCATCTCTCAGCTAGTTAAATTCACATTTGCACCAAAATACCAAGGCCCCCCGACAGAATTCTAATCACATACTCCCTCATTAAATCAATGAAGACCTCATAAGAAGGTGGACACTAAAGTCAGTGATCAAGTGAGTAAACAGAAATCCCAGAGAAATGCCAGAGCAGGCAGACACCTGAGAATTGTAAGCTGCTCTAATAAAATGAAAGGATTGTCTCTAATATACTTAAAGACCTATCAGAACTAATGCATCCAAGATACCAAGATAACAAAGGCTATGGTTAATTAAAATCTCTAGCAGCCATTTGTTTGCAAGGGGAAATTAAGTATGGGGATGGATACCACAGTCTGTGCATCCAAGTTCCACCCTAATAGAGACACTGCTTAAAAGTGTGCAGGGCGCTCTTACCCCGAGTTACCTTCTATTCCAGAAGATGTGGAGAGATGTCTAGAAAGATAAACAGAAAGCAGACCTTGGGCTCAGGTAACATACGCTCTCCACACTGGGAACTCTCAAGGGACCCAAGTGGGTCATCTCTGTGTTGATCTGTGTCTTTTGTGCAGGGGAAGCAACCCTGGGGTCCCAGTAGCTCTCTTCAACTCAGCGTGGCCACAAGGTTTAGTTACTCAGCCAGGATGCTTGTCCTGCCTCCCCTGTCCTCTTCTAAGGGAGAGAGCGTGCACTGAGCCAGTGGGCCTCCTGTGGAAGGGACACATGAGGCTGAACTGAAAGTCACATGCGCTCGGAGAAGAGGAACATCAGGTGGGGTGACTGAACTGTGAGTAGCTGAAAGAAAAGCAGCACTGTTTCATAGAACACTCAGCATCGTTGGAGCTTAGTTTGAGGTCAGACCCTTTCAACTAGGAAAAGCAACACTAAAGGCAACATGGTCTTTCCCTTTCAAACACTGTGGCTTATTTGTTTAGTTGGTTAAATAAACCACAACCCCCCTCATTATAGAGATTAGCAAGAGATGAAGAAAATTATAGGCAGGTGGCCCTAGCCCAACAGTCTGATAACTGGGTCAGCAGGGAGGCCCAGGATGGCTAACTACTTATCTGTGCTAAACCCCAGGTAACGCCCACATGATGCCTCTCATCAGCGAGGCAGATGGTCATCCTCCTGGTAGAGGTATCAGGGTGCCGACCCACAGCACAAAGGGATGGGAGAAGGACGTGCCTGGCTAAAAGGCGTAAGCTGCTCCACACGGCTGTATCACACAGACAGCAGCCAGCCAGAATTCACAGGTTACTCCGAGAAAACTTAGCCCCCCACAGAGAGGGACTCTTACCCTGAGGCCTGCACACCACAAGCCTCCCTTGCTTCAAGACCCAGCATTAAGTGAGGCTGTCACCCACTTCCACAAGTGGAGTCTGCCTCTGTCCTGCCTTCCTGTCCCCACAGGAACCTGAGATGGGGGGAGGGATGACCAGCCCAGAGTGAGTATCAGGAGATGGGAAACTGCAGAAGGAGGGAGAAGATGGAGGGACAAGAGAGGGTGCAAAGGACAAGTTCTAAACGCTTAAAATTGTATCAAGGAGATAAGAGGTGGGAGGCAAAGGTTAAAACAAGAAGAGGTATGGGATCAGGAGGAGGAGCTCCTAAGATGACTAGAAGGTGGGAAGGTGGCAGGACTGCCTGGCATTACTTCCCGTGCAAGTCACTGAGCTCCACATCATCCTTTCGGCGCTTATGGGTGAAGAGGGAGGTGACCGGGTAGAGCTTGGCCTTGGCCTGGAACCGGTGTCCTGCGATGTCAATCTCATATTCTCCCCGGTTGATGAAATCTGCTGTCACCACCTGCTCTTCTCTGGTGTCCTCGGAAAACTTGTGCACGAAGCCCAGGCACACGTGGCGCTCCAGGGTGTAACCATACGCGCTGCTGGTGGTCTTGCCCACATACTGCCCGTTGCGGTAAATGGGCTCCCCCCACCAAGGCCAAAGGTCCAGGTCTGTGTCGTGGTCGTCCAGGATGAACATAGTGAGGCGTTTGTACACCCCGTTCTGCTTCTGCTGCAGCAGGGCATCTCGCCCAACGAAATCCATCCCCTAGGAAAGAGCACAGAGACAGCATCACCGCTCGGGACCTGGTGTCCCTGCAATGGGCTGCCCACTCCCCACCACACCCCTGCAAGCTCTGGAGAACGTGTGCTTCCCCCATGCGGAAAACTGCATTCACAGTATGAAAGACACCTGCAGAGAATTCTTGTAACAACACAGGTACGCATCACTCTCTCTTCTATTTTATAAACACATTTCAATCGCGAGACCACACAGAACAAAAATAGGAAGAAAAACCAACACTTGAAAATGCTTGCTAGAATTATTTTAGAAAAACAATGTTTTTATATAATCTCAACCAGCAGTCCATGCATATATATCTGTATTCTATGCATAAATATTTACATATGCATATGTCCAAAAAAAACAAACTCTTAACAATGCGTGTCACTGAAAAAAGAGCGATTTTTTCTTTATCTTTTTCCCTATTTTCCAAATCTAGTATTCTTTACTTTTATATCAGAGGAAAAATAGTTACCTAATTGCTCAAAAAGAACACCAGAGATTTACTATACTGATAGGGAATGGCTGCTAAGATATTTTAAGTGAAAAAGGCAAGGTGCAATGCAATATACCAAGTATATAGTATCCAACCACCAAGGTTAAGAAAGTGATGAGGGGAAATTGCACTGCATGGAAGCTCTCTACAAGGAGAGGCAGGACACTGCTGCTTCTGGTCAAGCTGGCAGTGGGACTGGGTGGGCTCAGAGGTGGGAAAGAACCTTTTCATCCTCTTGAACGGTGATTACGAAAAAATCAGGCAGTTGAATGTAAAGTGACTCATTTGTACATGTGGCATATTAATGAATTACCACAATCAACTCAAAAAAACTGCCCAGAAAGCACTCAGTCTAAAAGAGAACAAAGTGCCCCGAACAAGTGTTGTCTATTTATGATGTTTCCATATTAAGTGTTTTATCTCATAGATACATTTTGAGGTCTCAACACCTATACACTTTTCCTCCCACCTCAACTCTTCCTGTTCTCATGCAGGCTCCCTGCTCAGGAAGCTGAGGGCAGAATGGAGTGTGCACAGGTACAATACCTTGTCTAACTTCACCCGAGACTCTCGTCCGCATTCCAGGGGTGTGGTGAGGGTGTTTAAATCCTGACCCCAGAAGGCAAAAAACTTTTCAATTCGGAGACTACGAAGAGCATAATACCCAGCATTCCGGATTCCATATTTCTGTCCAACACTCATCACTTCGTTGTATACATGCAGGGCATACTAGAGGGAGAGACAAAAGGTCAGTAACCAGCAGACCTTCAAAATTAAACACGGAATCTGCCTGATGGCTGACACTGTTACCTGGACAAGGGAGAAGGTTATCTACAATCCTCAGGAACCAAAGTGCTGCAGCCCAGGCTTAAGCTCCACGAAAGCAGCACCTTTATCTTTTTACTTCTCTAAAATGTCTAGGATCTCAGTATATAATAGTAACTCACAGAAGCTCTCTTACCACTCAGTAAACGACCAGTCTCGTAACTGCCTCTCAAACAGCCATGCATCCTCCACTGGCTTTGTTCTCTTGCGCCAGTTCCCTGAACTTGGTCCTTCCCTTATGCAATGGCCTGTGCTGTGAAACTGGTGTTACACATAACTCTAGACATGCACACACAACTCTGATTTGTCACACGGATTATGGCATATCTTAAGAGACCCAGAGTGAGTCACAGAGGACCCCAAAAATCAGAGCTCTCCTACCCGTGTCCCACAATATCCAGTCTCTCATGTTGTTTTGTTTGTGGTTCCAGACACGTTTAAGTATTACATAACTTAAATGAACAGAAGTTTTCCAAATTGAAAGCAAATACTCAAATACTCTGTTAAGTCTAAAGCCCAACAACAAACTACACTGTTTACTTTAAAAACTGTAAAAGTAAAACAGAAAACAGGAGAAATGAGGAAGACAGATACTGTATCTCACTTATATGTGGGATCTTAAAAAAAAAGACTATTGTTTAATAGTTGTGTTTTGGTTTTATTGTTTAATAGTTGTGTTTTGGTTTTATTGTTTAATAAAACCAAAATAGCAACTAAACTCACAGACCAAGAGATCAATTTGTGGTTACAGGTGGGGATTGGAGGAAGGTGGTCAAAAGGTACAAACTTCCAGTTATAAGGTAAGTACTAGGGATATAATGCACAACATGATGACTAGGTGACACTGCTGTGTGATAACATATGAAAATTAAGTAAATCCTGAGAGTTCTTCTCATCACAAGGAAAAAAAAATTTTTTTTTCTTATTATTGTGTCTATGAGACGATGGATGCTAGTAACTAAACTTATTGTGGTAATCATTTCACAGTCTAAGTCAATCCATTATCCTGTCCACCTTAATCTTATACAGAGATGTATGTAAATTATATCTCAATAAAACGGGGGGGGGGAGACAAAAAAATCTGCTTCACTGGTATCGCAATTCTTTATCCTGGCAATATATGTTGCTCTATAAACTGCACTACTGCAGCTGAACAGGCATTGACTAAGCAGACTGCTGTGATCAAGGCAACTTTAGATGTGGGAAAGGGAGTCTGAGCTATTGGGTACAACACAGCCTGTGGTATGTGTGTAAGTGAAACACTGCAAATAGCAAAGGTGGGTGGAGGAGACCATTGGAGACTGGCTGGGAAAGTGAGTAAGAATGAGCTGTATCTCGGGCGGGTTCAGTGTCTCAAGCTGAATGCTCCGTACTTGAATTAAGAAGACAAAGGTTTAAAGCAGGTGAGTAGTCTTGGGCTAGAGAAGAGCAACGCGAAAAGTGGGTCCCCACTACTTATTTTCTCATTAGATGCCAGGCATTGAGTGTGAACAAACCAATCTGCTTATCTGCCACCATGCTTTGGAAGGCAGCTCCTCAGAGACAAGTATAAGCTTCTTGAGGACAAAAGCCAGCTTGAAAAGAACCCAAGCAGTGCACAAATTACCTCTTGGACTCACAGAAAACCATAAAAATGGGACCAGCCCAGGAAAATGCGGTAGGAAACAGGGCTTCTCCCTCCTGACGGGCTTGGCTGATTAATGACCCAGGAGCAGGTGGTAACACCTCAATGACCATATGGCACTTCAGTACAGGCAAAACTTATCAGCTACATGCATATTAACTCTTCTCAAATCATGAATAATTCCTTCACCTTAATATTGTTATAATACTTTTGAGTGTGGAAAAGCAGATAAAATTTCATGGGCTGGTAAATCTATGTTTCATTTAATAATTAAAAGGAAACCTAACACCATGAGTAGTATGACTAATATCAAGAACATGGCGAGGTTGTAGGTCACTGCTACTTGTCACAACTGGACAAGGGAAAGAAAATGCAGGAATAAAAATTGTTAAGAAACAAAAACTATTATTGTTTGTGTATGGTAAGACTGAACCCTGGAAATTCCAGAAATCAACTAAAAAACAGCTATAAACAGTAAGATAGTTTAGGAGGGAAACAGGTTAAAGCATTAATATACAGGGAAAAAAGCTTTCATAAATCAGAAGACACCCTTCCCATTCACACCACCACCAAAATATTCATATAAATTTAAGAAATGTATACATGAAGAAAACTTCAAAATACCTCTAAAGGTCACTAAAAAAAAAGAAAGGTATATTTTGATTGTAAGATTCAACAAATATAAGAATGTCAGTTCTTCCTAATTTACAAACGTAACACAATCCAAAAACTCAGGGTGTTTTTTGTTTTAACTAGATGATTATAAAAGTTTATAAGGAGATCAGCTCAGTGCTTTGTGACCACTTAGAGGGGTGGGTTAGGGAGGGTGGGAGGGAGGAAGACACAAGAGGGAAGAGATATGGGAACATATGTGTATGTATAACTGATTCACTTTGTTAAAAGGAAACTAACACACCATTGTAAAGCAATTATACTCCAGTAAAGATGTAAAAAAAAAAATAAGGAAACAGGAATTAGTCTTTTCCAGAGTTTTCCAAGCTATGAGGGAGCATAAGCATTACCAAGTATTAAAATATACAATAAAGACTCAGTAATTAAAACAGTGTGATACTGGATACACAAATAGAATAAAAGTCCAGAAATAAATCTAAATATATATAGAAACTTAGTATGTGACAAAGGTAGAATCTCACATCAACTGGTCATCCATGTTAGAAAAAATAGTTTGATCCATAGCTCATCAAGTGTACCAAGAGACAGTGCAAAAGGTTGGAGCATTTAAATATGAAAAAACAAAACACACAAACCCATAAATAGCAACAACACAAACTAAAAGCACCAGAAGTGGAAAAAATTTTTAACTCTGCAGTGGGGAAGCCCCTTCTATGTATTAAACTCTAGAAGCCACAAAAGATTCATCAATTCACCTATAAAAAATTTTTTTTGCAACATATGAAACATTTCCATAATAAAAAGTAAAATTTAGAAAACCCTTCTGGGACTTCCCTGGTGGCAGAGTGGTTAAGAATTCACCTGCCAGGGGACACGGGTTCCATCCCTGGTCCGGGAAGATCCCACATGCCACAGAGCAACTAAGACCGTGTACCACAACTACTGAGCCTATGCTCTAGAACCCGTGAGCCACAACTACTGAGCCCGCATGCCACAATTACTGAAGCCTACGCGCCTAGAGCCTGTGCTCCACAACAAGAGAAGCCACCACAATGAGAAGCCCGTGTACCGCGATGAAGAGTAGCCCCCACTCGCCACAAATAGAGAAAGCCCGCGCACAGCAACAAAGGCCCAACACAGCCCCCCCCAAAAAAAATAAATAAGTTCATTAAAAAACAAAGAGAAATCATGTTCATAAGTTAACACGACTGATTAACAAAGATAAAATATATATATATATAAACCCTTCTACGTGACAAAAAAAAACAAGACAAACTGGAAAAAAAATTTACAACTTAATAGTAAGGACTGGCTGGTTGATTCAGAGAATGCCTAGAAACTGGGGGGAAAAGACCAATAATTCAATACAAAAATGGACAGAAGATACTGCCAGGACATTCATTCATGCAACATTTATTAAGCGTTTACTATGTGCCAAGTATTTCTCTAACTGCTGGGGATATAGAAGTTAAACAAATATCCCTGCCTTTAGCAAACCTACATTTAAATGGGTAATGTGATGAACGAGATAAAGAAAATACATATTCTATGAGACAGTGGTAAGCACTCTTGAGAAAAATGAAACAGGGAAGGAGGCTAGGGAGGAGGGGGCCAGAGACTGCAACTTTAAATGGTCTCTTCAAGAAGGTGAGGTGAGACTTCCCTGGTGGCACAGTGGTTAAGAATCCGCCTGCCAATGCAGGGGACATGGGTTCGAGCCCTGGTCCAGGAAGATCATACATGCCGTGGAGCAACTAAGCCCGTGCACCACAACTACTAAGCCTGCACTCTAGAGCCCATCACTCTAGAACCCGTGAGCCACAACTGCTGAGCCCCCGTGCCACAACTACTGAAGCCTGCACGCCTAGAGCCCGTGCTCTGCAACAAGAGAAGCCGCCACAATGAGAAGCCCGTGCATCACAACGAAGAGTAGCCCCCGCTCGCTGAAACTAGAGAAAGCCTGCGTGCAGCAACGAAGATCCAATGCAGCCAAAAATAACTAAAAAAAAAAAAGTTAGGTGTGGGGACCTCCCTGGTGGTCCAGTGGTTAAGACTCCGTGCTTCCACTGCAGCGGACGTGGGTTCAATCCCTGGTTGGGGAACTAGGATCCCACAGGCCGTGCGGCCTGGCCAAAAAGTTTTTTTTTTTTAATTAAAAAGAACAAAAGGTGAGGTGTGAATAAGACCTGAAGCAGGTGTGGCTGTGAGCTTGGGAGGCTTTACTGGGGGGAGGGATATGCCAAAGAAAGGGAAGGGCAAGTGGAAAGGCCCTGAGGCAGAAACATGTCCAGCAAGGAGTGAGAGGCAAGAAGACAGGGTGAGATGAGGAGCAGCAGTGTGGAGGAGGGTTGGCAGAGCTGTGTGCGCCCTGCAGATGGGCTTTTACTCGGAGTGAGATGGGTTTGGACAAGTAGCTTGATCTCTTGCATGAAACTGTACCCATCAGCCCAAAGTTTGACAACTCTGTGTGCTGGTACAAGCAATAAAGAAAAAGACACTCTTGTACACTGCAGAAAAGCACTAGAAACCCTATAAATGTCTATTAGTACCAGACTGGTTAAATAAATTACGATTCAACTATATAATGGCATACTATATGTTTTCATTAAAAAATAAAGAAAAAAGAAGAAGGAAGCTCCTTCTCTTTAGGTACTGGCAGGGAAAAATCTCTAAATTGCTAAGTAAAAAAAATCAAGATGAAGAACAGCAGTAAGCCTCCATTTGTGTTTCTAAAAAAGAGGGTTATGAATACGTCTTTGAACTTGCTTCCATATGCACAAAAATCTCTGACATGATATAAACTAACAATTATATCACTGGTGGTGGCTGGTGGGAACTAGTCGGGTGGCACTGAATACTTTTTAGAGGTTTTTATTTTTAGACCATGTAAATATATTACCTACACAAAAAAAGTACATAACTTAGCTAAAAACGTTAAAATCTCTTTAACGCAGCCTACCTCAGTGACCAAGGCCCGGTCAGACATGGCGCTCTAACCCTGCCAGCACCCATCCTCTCGTGGTTCTCACCTCTATAGGAATGTAAAGCATGAATCCTGGCTCTCCCGTGTGAGTCATGCTCATCACCCGGATCCCATTTGCGTAGCCCACACTCATCTCCTGTGGAAACAAAGGGAGAAGGTCATCATGGAAACTCATTAGGGGAAGTGGGCCCCTCCATGTTTGTTACAGGAATGAATGCCTGAGGCAACCCCTCTCATTAGCTCTGTACCGTGTTGGACCCTAATGGAGATACATGTGAATGAAAATTTCTTCCTCAAGACAGTCTGTTTCCAGGCACTGGGGTCATTAGGAACAGAGCACAGCCTTTCCAATGCTCTTCTCACGAACAGCCCCAGTTCAGGAGTGCCAGCCAAGCTACTGGAGGGAAGTGGAGGCAAAGTCTTTGATAAGCATGAAATACTTCTTTTTACAAAGTCGTGCTCAAGATTTGTTTTAGTCAGAGACGCCGGGAGCAATAAAGACCAGGCAAATGTGTTCTCTGGCGGACCTCGCAGACAAGTCCTGGGTACCTGCCCCACAGATGATGCCAGATGACCAAAGAACACTGTTCACCTGCTACCCTGGGGGAAGAGGCTGGCCTTCTCATGTTCAAAACGTGTTTCCAGCAGCTCAGTTACCCAAAAGGGGCCCCTGACTAAATCACCGTTCCTGCAATGGGAAGTGGTAAGTCCCAGACAGCCCTAAAGCAGACTGTTGCCACGAGGAGCAGGCATAGCAGCACAGTACGCTGTAGGCGCACGCATGTGGGTTACTTCTTCAAGGAGCAAAGAACGTACTGTGACAGGGTCTGCTGCCAGCTAACAGTTTCCTGTTGCTTTAACCGTGCCATGGAGAAAAAGGAGAGCTGTAAAATCACTTAAGAGGTGGATCCTAACTTCAGTTTGAACTTCAAAGAGCATCCCATCAGTAACTGTCCCGAAGCTGCTTGTTACAGGTTGCCAAAACATGTCTGTCTGGACCTCTCTAATCAACCACTTCCCAGAGAGTGTGTTCAGTTATCATTCCTTTTATTCAGTTACAATTTGTTTCACTCAGCTCTAGTTGCCAAGTATAAGAAAGAAAATTTATAAGAAAAAGAAAATTAAGTAAGTTGTTTAGGGATTCACCTAAACCATTTCCTACCTGAAGGTGCCACATACACAGAAGTTACTTTGTGTATGGAAAAGAGGAAGCACTGCATGGAGAGAAGGGACCTGACCTTGACTGGCATTTTCTGGCATCCACGTCATAATACTATAACTTAAAAATTTAATCTACATCTACAGAAATCAACAAATATATAGAACTGATATTCAGAGATATTAGGTCTTCAAAGATATCAATGTTTATTAAACAAGAAGAACATGAAGATTGAAAAATAAAGAAATGGATTTACTCAGTCATTCTGTTTGCTTAATAAAAGTCAGAACACACTTTGTGGGTATTAACACCATAGTGAGAACATGTAATTGCCATCTCTATAAAAGAAATATTCCCTGCTTATTTAAAAACTAGAACTTTACTAGTACCCACCTTGCAAAACAGACTTGGGAAATGGTCTGGAGTCATAGGGGCATAGGACAACTCAGACAGCACATCCACAGCTCGAGGACCAATCAGATTGAGGGCTAAACGGAAAAGAACAAGAGATGTCTGGCCGCTCCAGGTGAATAGCTGAACCAATGGGAAAGGTCTGCTCTGGACTTGCTCAACTATGGCCAGGTGTGAGTGGCAAGACCATGAAAATGTCCATTTGCTTAGGCAATCCTAGGGTGGACCTTGATTCTGGCAAATACACTTCTCCTGACAGGGCTGCTTAATGCTGCTACTGACTCCTGGCATCTGACAGCCTGGCTAGTGTGTTGCCTCTTCCTGGGTACAAAGGAAGACGGGTACAAAGGAAGACAAAACTCCACAGCCTCCTTTGCAACTAGATTGGGATCATGAGGGCAGGGGATAGGAGCCCACTCCTGGGGCTGGCCAAAACCCCCCTGCACAATTCCTGTTCCCTGGGACTTCCCTGATAGTGCAGTGGCTAAGACTCCATGCTCCCAATGCAGGGGGCCCGGGTTCGATCCCTGGTCAGAGAACTAGATCCCAGATGCCGCAACCAAGAAGTCCACATGCCGCAACTAAAGATCCCGTGTGCCGCAATGAAAATCCTGCATGCCTCAACTAAGACCTGGCACAGCCAAATAAATAAATTAATATTTAAAAACAAGACAAAACAAAAACTCCCATTCCCCTCCTCTTCCCAATGTGGCTACATGATGGAAAAAGCCCCAAACCCAAATCAGTACCAGGAGAACCCTGAGGAGAGCTGCCTACCCAGCCTGGATTCTGTCACATTTACGACAGCACCTAAGCTAATTACACATCAAATACTCTTAAATGGACTAGAAAATAGGCTTGCTTCAATAAGCTTCTATAGTTTTCTAATCTGGTAGCAAGAAGGTAATCATATTTGCTACCATGATGAACTGAGGATGAGGGCCTGGTGGAGGTGAGGGGCAGGGGTTCATTGAGGGTAGGGAGGGATTAAAGCTGGAATCAGGTGGCAGAAGAGGAGGGGTTGCTCCCTGAGAAGACTGCTGAGGAAGAGATAATACAGAAATTATCTATCCTTAAAAAGTATTTACTCATTAAAGAAAAAATAAAAACTAAGGGGAAATTTTGAAGAAAATAACACTTAGGTAATAAATATAAAAATACTTTAATAATGAGTCACTCATTCATTCAACAAATATTTGCACTCTGATATGCTGGCTGTAGGAGATACAGCAGTAAACAAAACACAAAGAAACTGAAGCACTAACTCATTCACACTTCACTTATAAAAACACGGGGAAGCATTAGAGATCAATTTTCTATGACCAGGAAACTCTTCCAAGATTCTAATTCTGACACTCATTTTTGAATATCAGATATAGAGAAGGCAAATGGAGAAGACAGATCTGGATCACCTTCGATCAGCTGGCTTTTCCTCGCTCAGCTGACTGCAGAGAGCCCCCTTACCAGTGTATTTCCAGGTGACGTCCTCCAGAATCAGATTGCTGTCTTCTGGCATGTATTTCTTAAGCCAGGCCCAACAGTGGACCTGTTGGTCGGTTGGAGAAATCATGAAGAAACTGAAAGTGAGACCCAAAAGTAATCAAAACCAGGCAGCAGGAGAATGATCAGGAAGCAGTAAGTTCTCAGCTAGTTTCAAAGCAACAAACAGAATACTGGTGAATGATCTCTTAGCTTTTAGGGAAGGCCAACAGCACATACTTCTAGGATATACCACATAATGACAAAACAGAAGATTCTGGCTTTCTGCTAGTGCCAAGAAATTATACAGACCTACTAACATAAGATAAGGCATTTTTCCTCAATAGAGTAACTAATTTTTCCACACCAAGTTTTACATAATCTGGTGGGTTTCTTTTTCTTTTTTTCCTCCTGGTGCTTTTAGTGTGTGTGTGTGTGCTGGGCTGCTAATGAACTGGCCATGACTTAATGAAATGTTTTTTTGTCCTTAGTGTTATTACAGTTTCCTGGAGAGGTGAGCTGAGTGCTCGGCTCCGCCACAGCCATTAGGCGGAGGGAGCAGAGTGGCAGCCGGCTCACCTGCGCTTGCTCAGCCGTGCTATGCTGCAGTCATTTTCGTACCCTCCGCCCTCGTTGAGCATGCCGGTATGCACGATGTGGCCCACGGGCACGTCAAGGTCATTGGAGAAGAGGTATTGGAGAATTTCTAATGCCTGATCCCCGGTGGACTGTAGGGTTAGGGAACGAAGCAGAGAGAACAAACATGAGAACCTCTGGCCGGTAATGCGGCCTGACAAGCAAAGTCACTTGCGGAGAAAATTCAATTAGCCGGTACTCGTGCAACAGTATTTGCAGATTTGCTCCACTGCAACGAGCTCCAGAGAAAGCTAGCTATTGATTCTAGTGTCAAATGAGCTTCTGCAAGCAGATAAAGAACCAGAAACAAAGCGCTAAAAATTCGAGAAAATGTTATAATACAGGTGAAACACTAAAATATATCAGAGTTCTTAGTCTGCTTTGAAGTGACAGATGAAAAACAAGAGGCATTCAATAAATATGCAAGTTTCCAAATCTGTTCTTTTGGTTCCCAAATACTTACTGTTATTTCAAACTTTGTGAAAGAGGACATGTCAATGACACACACAGCCTCCTTACAGCACTTGACTTCAGACTCCACAATCTCAAACCAGTCTGGCTTGTAAAAAGTCTTGCTCTGCTCCAAGGCCAACAGGTCTACAGGACAGAGAAAACCAAAGGAAGACAGAAAAGGAGGGGACTTGTACTGGTGAGTCTCCTTCATAGATTAGTAGAGTATAATAGGTTTTTATTATTTATTCTCCTAGGAAGACAAACTAGCTATACACATTTAAAAACAAGGTTTACTATTCTTAAGACAAAAAACCCCCCAAAAACAAAAAGTGAGAACATGCCTTCTTACCCAAAAACCCCCCAAAAACAAAAGGTGAGAACATGCCTTCTTACCCAAAAACCCCCCAAAAACAAAAGGTGAGAACATGCCTTCTTACCCAAAAACCCCCCAAAAACAAAAGGTGAGAACATGCCTTCTTACCCAAAAACCCCCCAAAAACAAAAGGTGAGAACATGCCTTCTTACCCTTGTCTGGTGGCACAAAGTACTTTGGCCTCTCAAATCCATGTTTCTCCATCCACCTGGCTCCTTGTGCATCCAGCCGGTCATACAGAGGAGATGTGCGTAACTGCCTTCCTGTCTGGAAGTCCCAACGGGGAACCTTCAGATCGTACAGCAGAGCTAGAAGAGAGAAGAGCAGTCTATGAAAGCCCAAGGCACAGAGCTGAGCACCAATATCCATGGGCCTCTGGAGTTGCTCCTATTCAAAAAAGCATGCTTTCAGGCTGCTGTAGCCTAATTTGCCAAACAGTACCCAGTGTGACACAAATGTTCCAGAAGAAAGGATCACATTGCAAGAGCTGGTAACGCCCCTCCACAGACTTACATAGCTGTGAGTCACATAACAACTCTAGATCTTTGTTTATAATTACTGTTCCAAATTAGTAGGTAGAAACAATGGGAGAGAGGTCAGAGTTCTAAACCTTGTTAAGCTCCCAGCAGAGATGAAGGTTATGTCTACACAGGACACAGGTGGTTACAAAGTGTGAAAAAATGGCACCTGATTCTTTCCAGTGCCTGTGTTGTTGGAGTCTCAGACCTGTTACACACTTTTCCTAATATTTAGCCATTTCTGAAGCAAAAGGGCACACAGCATACCTTGATTTGGTGGTTCTGAAATCTGACAGGTTGCAAAGTATTGTCCCAGTGACATTATTTACATAACAAAGGGAGGGTCAGAATTCATTTCTCCTAATGTCCAATCTGCAACAGTGAATAAGTAAAATATCCAGAAAGAG